ATCCAACTTCTTTCCAATTAAGACCAATTATTTATACGAGAGATAGAAATGATGCTTTCCAAATAAAGACAAGCAGTTAAGAATGATAGTATGACTATAGAGGGGTAAATGTCCACATTTAAACAAGTAAAAATCAATTAGGCAACAAGAATAACCAAAAAGGGCAATAAATTCCAAGTAAGTCATGTAGAGGTGAAACTAATAACATGGAACTCAATCGTATCAAGAACAACTTCATATTCGGTGATTATAAGGATCTAAGAGCCTAAAAGGGGCAATTTTCCACAAATAAATCCAAGCACGCACTCGTCACCTCGCATACAAGGAATACAATCAGCAAGGAAGACTCAATTTCTAAGGGGAAGTCCCCCACAGAAGGTTAGGCAAGATACTTACCTCGAACCGGCTAAAATCAACTAGCAACCACGCCTTTGCCACGAGTATCCGACTCCAAATGGCCCAAATCAATTCAATTCATTACATATCGTAAATAACATCTCAAGCAACTGATTCTACTATTTAATTCAAAGCAAAAGCGCGAGATTAGGCAAAATGACAGAAATGCCCTTCAGGCCAACGTCTCGGAACCGGATGAATTTAACATTTTCATAACCCTCATACTCTCACGAGTCTAACCATATAAAAATCTCCCAAATCGGAGGTCAAACACCCCCTCAAAACTCAATAATTCGGTCTATGAAGTTCTACCCATTTTTCAATTAAAAATCTGAAATTAAAGGATGAAATTAAGAGGAGATTCATGAAAATTGGTCTAAATCGAGTGAGAAGTACTTACCCAAGTTGCCCAGGTGAAAATCCCTTAAAAAATCGCCAAGGACCGAGCTCTAGAAGTCAAAATGTGATAAAATGATGAAACCCTCGAATTTGGGATTAAATTGTGTCTGCCCAGTTAATTGTTCATCGCGATCGCGGAGCAAGGGTCGCGATCGCGTAGAGGAAAAAAAATGGGTTGGCCCAGAAATGTGCATCGCGAACGCGATGAAGGGAACGCGAACGCGGAGAAGGGACCAGCAGTGCTTCGCGATCGCGGAAGCGCGAGTGCAAACGCGTTGAAGGAAAATATGAGATTCCAGAAATTGCTCTATGCGAACGCGGGATTGCCTATGCGAACGCGAAGTAGAAGTGCACTGGGCATCGCGAACGCGGGATGTGTTATGCGAACGCGAAGAAGGAAATTCCCGGTGGCCAAGATAAGCCTTCACGATCGCGAACGCATAGAAGGAGTACCAGAAGCAGCAACAATAGTGCAAAAGTGGAAGAAAAAGACCCGTAGCCCATCCGAAACACACCCGAGGCTCCCGAGACCCCGTCAAATCACACACGCGAGTCATATAACCTAACACGAACTCGCTCGAAGTTTCAAATCACATAAAACAACATCGAAACGACGGATCGAACCAAAAATTATAATGATATGGGATTAATTATAATGGAATATGACCCGTCTATTTATATGAGAAAAGTGACTTAGCTTCATTTGTTTGCACTTAATGAGGGTCTAAATCTGAATGAATCAGATCTTAGCCCATTAAGTATATGAGGGTGTTTGGCTAAGCTTATAAGCTGGTCAAACTAGCTTATAAGCACTTTTCGGCTTATTTACCCGTTTGGTAAAGTTAAAAGTGCTTATAAGCCAAGTGCTTATAAGTCAAAAATAAGCCAAAAGCCATAAGCTGGTCACCCCCAGCTTATGAATATTTAGCTTATAAGTACTTTAAGTTTGACCAAGATTTTTACTATTTTATCCTTAAAATATTTCTTTTTAGAACAAAATTTCTACATCGATACTCACTGGTCACTGCCCCCTCCCCTCCCCCTCCTCCCCCGACCTCTTCAAGTCTGCAATTCTCATTGACTATTTAAGATAAGCAAATTCTCGATTCCTTTACATACTTATATCTATGTGATTGTGTATTAATCTTTGAACTGTATGTAATAAATGAGGTTATATCAAGCTTTTGGTGTATTGCTTTCTAAGTGTTGTGGTGATGAAGACAATGTTTGTTTCTCTTCAAATAATTTGCCCTATTTAGGTTTATTTCTTACTGAGAAACTTTTGTCTATTTATTATTATTATAGCTTATGCTTATATTCTTATCATAAAATAAATTATATTTATCATAAAAATTATCTTATCTAGGCACAGTTGTATTTAAAATAAAATGACAAAGAGAATATTTTGTATTTGAATCGATCTGGAATCTAAAATATTGAAGAAATTTATAAGTGTAAACAGTTCTAAGGTTATTTAAGTCATTTTAACATAAAAAGAGCTTATCAGCATTTTTTTATCAAATACTACAACAACTTATTATCAATTTCAGCACTTGTACCCAAACACGTAACTGCTTATTTATTAAGAGCCCGTTTGGCCAAGCTGCCAAAATCTGCTTATTTTGAAAAGTACTTTTTTCAGAAGTACTTTTTTTAAAAGTACTTTTGAAAAAAAAAATTGTTTGTGTTTGGCCAATTCATTTAAAAAGTATTTTTGTAACATTTGGTAAACATATTGTGTTTGGATCTTTTAAAAAGTACTTTTGAGTGTCAAATTACCAAAAAGGATAGTACCATGGTCTTATAATTCTTTTAAATAGAAAAATAAACTTAAATATTTATCGTAAGAGACTTTTATTATTTTTTATTTTATTTAATTAAAATATAAAACATAAAGTAAACAAACATAATATATATATATATATATATATATATATATATATATATATATATATATATATATATATATATATATACCAAAGCATATGATATTATCTAGTACAATTACTTATTGTTATATGATGATTTGAGTAATTAAAATACATCATTCAGTATAAATTAGAAGTTTATCCACAAATTACTATATATTGATAACCCATCATGAAATAGTAAGTAAAGTCACTCACACATGATAATATTTCTCAACAATTTCATCTTTACTTCTTTCACACAACGCCTCCATATTAGTAGAAGACTTGCCTCGCATTTCTAAAGGAATATCAGAAGGCTCATCTCCTTCATCAATCTCTGCGGTGCGGTAATGTATTCATTAGCATAATAGTTGAATTCTTTATCGGTAGAAGAATGTCGTCAAATGAAATTATGTTTACCATGGTAGTTGTAACTAGATAATTTTGAGTGTCAAACTTGAAAGATGACTTTGAGCATAAAATAGAAATAATTTTAAATATATAAAAAAAATCATAAAACAAAGAGTTAAGTATATATTAAACTAATTTAAAAAGAGTAACTAATTATTAACAATACGTAATATTTAATTTATTTTTTTAAAAAATTTAAATTTAAAAAGAAACTAATTATTACCTAACCTTACTAACTTTATCCTAAATTGCCAAGTGGCCTATTGTGAGGCTGTCACTTGACTTAGTTGGATGCATTTTCTTCTTCTTTTAATAATATATAGATAGATTATACAATGCAATTGTAAATATATTACCTATTTGTAGGTCATTTTCACAAATTAGATTTGATAACTATTTTAAAGATTCGGAACTAATAATATATAATAGAACTATTTGTCGGAAGAGAATTAATAATCCAAAGAAGGATGTAGATAATTTGCTTTAGTGTAAAAAAAAATAAGAAGATCATTTGGAAAGTTACAAGATATTATACAAAGAAAAAATCAAAAATAAGAAAAGTCAATAAAGAATTTGGAAAGTCATAATATGATTCATATGTATAATATCTTTAATTTTAATAGAATGATAAAAACTAGAAACAAAAAATGAAAAGAAAAAACTTAAATTAGTAAGAGATAATTTGAAAAATATAAATTTATGGTGAGGATAGTTTTGTCATGAATAAATTAATTTTCTACTTCTGCTTTTTGGAAGAAGCTAGAATTTTCTGCTTCTTCCCAAAAGCAGAAAAAATGCTTCTGCTGCTAGCCAAAAGTACTTCTCTGTATTGGCCAAACAGCTCAAATTTTTTAAGAGCTACCTTTTTTTGGGGGAAAAAAAGTACTTTTGGCCTCCCAAAATCTTGGCCAAACAGGCTCTAAATCAGTTTCAGCACTTAAAAATGTTTTTCATCACCTAATGCTTATCAGCTATTTCAAATAAGCTAATCCAAACGGGCTCTATCTGTTATTTTATTTTGGGAAACTTACACAAATGTCCCAAATAAATCTCAACTTACCAACCTCTAGCCATTAGTCATAGACTTACTAAAACTAGCCAACAAAAATTAAAAAAACAAATAATAGGGTTCTTTCTCTCAAAGAATCACATGCAAAAATCACCTTCTATATTTTAAGCGTGATTAGCAACACTAGACACAAGACGTAAATGAAATTTCATGGATGAGGTAGCAAATAAGGTGATGAAATACAAAAATATATACAATATTCTAAAAATCTAAACAAAAAAGGAACTTTTTCAATGGGTATAGTCGAAATTCGTTGAAAATATATAGATAAGTCAATATACAAAATTTGAGGAAGATTGGAGGTGATTTGGACTGGTTTTGTATCAAAATTCGTAATTAAATCAAGTTCAAAAAAGTCTTCTGCGACACATGTATCACGCATGTATCTCACATACAGGTATACATAGAATACATGTGATACACAATTGATACAAGTATGATACATATGTGATACACAAATGATACACAATATGATACACATCATTTTTTTCATGTTCAGTTTTTACTTCGAATTTTCAATTCAAACAACCTCAAAACTTCACCAAATCATTCCAAAATTGAGATTCAAGCTCCTTAAATTGTGCCCAATCTATTTTAATAGCACCCACTCAAAACAAAGCAAAAATTTGATATTTTTTTGTTACAAATAGCTAATTGGCTAATTTGACTAATATTAATAATATTTTATCAATTGGCCAATTTTTATAATGAGCTACTTATAAATGAACATAGCTGGTAATTTCCCTTTTATTTTTAAAAAATCTGTATAGGTCTGATTGGGTCTGATTCGGCACACCTTTAATTGAGTCTTAATTTAGGTTAAAAATACCGAAAATACACGCCTGGTGCTCCTTTTCTCTCTCTTGACATCAGGCTATTTCTTCTAAACCCAAAACAAATTTCATCCTTCACACGTCTCTCTCTTCAAGGATCAAGCAGCCACCGAATCTTTTTCTGGGTAAGATTTTGAAAATTATACTTGGAATTCTCCATCTTGTTTCCACTTTTTAATGGTGAATTTCAGTTTCGAGTTTAGGGTTTAATAAAACCCCTTTTAAAGTACGATTGAGAAGGGGCTAAACTAGAAGGTTTTGCTTGCCTCTTATTTGAGTCTTATTCTCACTTTTGGATATTCTATTTTGATTGAATCTCTGAATTTCTGTAATTTTTCTTGATTTCGTTGACATCCCGATTCTCTAAATCGTAAATCTTAATTGGGACGTGTTCTATATTGTTAGCAATGTTTTTTTCTCTTTTGCAGATTCACATAGCTTTTGTTTTCTTCAAGAATTGCATATTAGTGACTGAAATTCAATTTCTCTAGTTGAAATATAAACCGTAATTGGTGTTTATGAAGCGTCCAAAATTAAGAAACTTTGCTATGGCTAGGATTCGGATAATGAAGTTCTGTGTTGTTAAAATTAGAGCCGCTATAGTTTCATATTTGGCTAGAATTGGGATAATGTATACATAAGTAAGATTTATATTTCAGTGTTTTCTGAATATTTATGTGCTATTGCTCTTGAATTATTCATCATATGTTACATGTTTTATAATTGAACTTGTTTATTCAAGAATAGCTTCTTTACTTCCTCAATTTTTTCCTATTTTGTGTTTAAGATCATACCATTTACTACATCTTTGCAATCTTCAAACAAATTATTTGCTTAGAAATATACAACTTATCTTCATGGGTGGCTCAAGGGTGAGGCTAGTAAAGCCTTCGCTTTAGGCCCCAAAAATTTTGAGGCTCCAAAAAGTGTTGTAAAATACGTAATAATATTTTAACTTAGACAATTCTGAACTTTGTAGAAAAAAGTATAAAATCCGTGTAAAAAAGGTTTTAAAAAAACAAAGAATATTTACCTTTTAACATAAAAAATATTCTAGAACTTCGAATTAAACTACTCAAATCTTTATATTAGCAAATAAAGTTTTTTACATCAAGATCCAAGGTAATGCATTGCAAACATATGGCTAACATCTTACTAATTTGAATTAACACTTGATAATATAAATAATAATATTACTAAATGAAGCTAAAAGTTATATATCTTGTATGAATACTTTACATTCAAAATATTTTTGGTTACATTTCGTTACTACAATTGTTGTTATTATATATAATTTTCATTTATAATTCAAATAGTTTAACAATTGGATCTTACATAAAATATTAATTTATATCTTATAATATTTCAATTTATCTCAAATAATAACTTTTTTGTTCAAGTTAATATTTTCACTAATTGATGTAATATTTAATCATTTTTTTGAATTGTATATGTTTATATATATATTATAAGATATAAATTAATATTTTATGTAAGATCCAATTGTTATATGTTGAAAAACAAACAATCTTAATCATTCAGTGTTCAGATCTGCATACCGCATCTTAATATTCAGAAGTGCATTTAGATTCAGACGTCTTAATCTTAAAAAAAAAAAACGAGGCCTTACCCACCCAAGTAACAAGCCTTAATATTTCTCTAAAATATAGATATTCACCTTAAATACAATTCTATTTGTAACACTTTTCAATTTGTCTCCAATTTTCCTCTTCCCTTCAAATTCCTTCACAAAGCGAGCGTTGGAAAACCTTCTTACCTCTGTGGTTTCGTACCTCCATTTTACCTCCGGCGAAGTTGAAACTCTGAACGGCGCCGATCCGCCGTTGAAATGAACCAGAGTCAGAGTCAGGGGGGTCAGCAAACGAGTGAAGGAAGACACGAAGATGACACTGCCCTCGCCGATTTCCTTGCTTCCTTAATGGACTATACTCCCACTGTCAGCTCACTTTTTCCCCCTTCTCTTTTTATCAGCAGTTATTTTCAATCTCGTGCAATTTTAGGTCTATATAATTTTACATTCTGTTTGTGATGGTTAAAACTTTTTTGATCAGATTCCAGATGAATTAGTGGAGCATTACTTGGGTAAAAGTGGTTTCCAATGCCCTGACGTTCGATTGTATGCACTCTCTTCCTCTCTTTCTTTTTTTCTTATTTATTTATTTTGCTGTTAGTCCTATTTAATCTTTTAAGTTGCTCTTAATATTATTCATAGAAAATTACAAAAAATACTAGGAGATTTCTTTCAATCTGCCTAAGTCTTGGTGGGCAGAGCTACCAGGTACCTATGCTGGTGACAGGTAACAGGTACCCCGTGGAATAGTCGAGGTGCTCACAAGTTGGCCCTGACACCACCGTCATTAAAAAGTACTAGTCATAGAAAATTTGTTCCTTGTCGGATTGCACAAAAAAGAAGAAGAAGAAACTATCTTAGTATATGATTTTTGTGGTTCTTGGATGATTAACAATTTTTACTAGGTTTATCTTCTTCTTTAAGTTACTAAATAATAGAGGCGGATCCAAGATTTGAACTTTATGGATTCAGAAAGCCACCGAACAGTGAACACTCTGGCCATTAGAGTTACTGTGTTCGAAATTTAATATTTGTACGTATTTAGTAGATTTATTAACACATATACGTAGTCTGCGCTAAAATTGTTGCGTTCGGCTGAATTCGTAGTTTATACTGTACATCCGCGCTTAAGTTCCTTCCTTTTGATTTTTAAACAATTCTTTTTTTTGTGGTTTGGCAGTAATTTTTTGTAAAATTAATGTATATGTGATTTGGGTTCGTATTTGCTTCCTTAAATAGTTGTAAATTTGAAGAGTTGTGGCACTTGATGTTTCTTTTGGCAGGAATGTGTGTTTCAATTTTGCTGTTTCATCTAACTTATTTGTTTTGAACATTGTATTGTTACATTGAGTCATTGAGTGTCTCCTCTGTATATGCAGAATAAGGTTGGTGGCAGTTGCCACACAGAAGTTTATTGCAGATGTTGCCACTGATGCTCTCCAGTATGTTCATAAAATTCTGTATCTTTCTTATTCATTCCCCCCCCCCCCCCCCACCACACACACACAAAAAACTTTTATTAAGCTGCTAATTCTTCAGCATATTGCTCACTCTGATTGTCTCATACTTCTCGAGGCTTCAACACGATTGTTCTGCTGGTTTAAGTGTTTGCCATTCTATGACACTTCTATTGTTAAGTTTCAAAGTGTTTGCCTTTGTCCCCTAACCTTCCAAAAAAGAAAATTGATTAGGCAGGGGGTGTGTTGTCCAGTAGTGCAAATTCGAAAAAACATAGAAAATTGTGTGGATGCTGTTAAGTGCAATAAAAAGCAATCCTTAGTGAAAAGATTTGCAAATGAAGAATGTGTAAGCAAGCAAGAACAAGTGAACGACTACAATTATCAAATTCATGGCAGAGGAATTGAATTTTTTTAATTATGCAAAATATATGTAGTAGAACTCATTTCAAATTATTTTTTTCAATTGCAAAGATGCATTATTTTAATTTTCTAATTCAAACTAATTAGTTGTTTTATACTACATTTATAATTTCTTATTCCTAACCTTTAAAAGGATTTCTTCGTAATTTTTTCTTAAAATTAAGAAAAATACATAATTACCCCATTGGGGTTGTAGCTAATTGTCAGATACACCCTTTAACTTTGCAGGAGCCCTATGATCCCCTCGTATTTGTTCAAAGTATAGTAAATATCTCTTTTTGAGCTGACGTGGCACCTTTAACATTTTGCACGCTATCATAGCGTGTGAGAAGTAAAAAATTTCCCCAAATCTGGTTATTTCTCCCTTTTTTTCCTTTGACTTCTTCATTTTTATTTGCACCCACTTTCTAGTTATTTCTCCATTTTCATTTTTCTTTCTTCTTCATTTTCTTTGTTCACTGTCAAGTCATTGTTCAATATCCTTAATTATGAAAAGGATTGAAGGTGAAGAACGAAAATTTAGTTGTTGGGTTTTGAAGAACCGAATTTAGTTGTTGGGTGAAGTATACTGTGGTACTATTTTTAAAGTCCAAAAATCAAATCTGGAGTGGAAATTCGGGTTACTTACTGTGGATTTCGAACCGCAAATTTTGAACTCCATTGCGGGTTCTTCGAAAGTCCGATACAGGTGGTTTGAATCCTCAAAGTTTAAAAAAATTGGCTATTCAAACCTTCTGGGAGTTGAAAGTTGAAGCTACATTTTGAGGTTACATTGATTTGAATGTCTGAAACTTGAAGAAAAGCGATCCGGCACTGATGTAATTTTGAAGCTCAAAACTGAAAAGCCATCTGCCATCTTTCTTTGGTGGTGGTGGCTTTGTAAAGATTTTTAGAAATATGGATGAATTACTCAAAAATTGGTACATTAAATTACGAGTAAGAAATCTGGAAAAAAATTGAGTATAAGCAATTTGCAATGGCGAAGATGAGAAAGAAGATGGCTAGTTGTTGCAATGTGACATAGAAGAAGAGAAGAAAAGAAAGAAAAAGAAAATAAAAATAAAAATAAAATAAAAGATAATGTTAAATAAATAGTGAATACAAAGAAAATATAAACAGTAAAACAAAAAAAGAAAAAAGAAAAACACATGTCAATACATGATTGGTGCGTGTCATATATTATTTTGGTTGAAAGTGGTGCTAACCACGGAAGGTGGTATTTATTATATTTTGAACAAAGACAAGGGGGTCATAGGACCTCCGCAAATTTTGAGAGTGCAACTGGTAAAGTGGGACAGCCCCAAGGGGGTAATGATGTATTATCCCTAAAAATTACTAATATATATCACTTATAATCATTGGTAGTGTCAGTGTCTCCCTCATTAAGATAAGAGGACATGGGCTCAAAGGTGCATTTCGGAAGATATCCCTTAAAGCCTTGGTGCTTGCATTGAAGTGCTGCCTAGCAAGATGAAGTGTCTAGCTTACTTTACACGTAGTTTTGAGTTTAACCTTGTCTCAGCGTGCTTTTAACAACATTAGGATTACATGTTAAACTAAAAAGTATTCTTAGCTAACTAGTTCCAGAGAGGAAGATAGTAATTTTCTTCCGCATGTTAGAGTGCCCCTTATTTGCAGCATCTGATCGTCTTTGCCACCTAGTCTCTTCTTAGTTGAAAATAAAATTTGCAGGAGTGCATCATGGCTTGTAGTTACCTTCTAGTATTCTATCCTTTTTTCTACTCGAGTTTACTTTTCTCTAGGCTACAGGAATCCATATTGAGTAATAAGGGAGTTCCTTGTGTACTATGCAGAAGTTCTCTTGGAATTTTTTTTTAAGCAGTTAAAATACCATTCTCTCTTAATTAAACTGTTAAGCTCCTCCATCTTTTAGTCTTGCAAGTTTCTTTAGATCCCATAGGATTCCAGGAAGAACTTAGGTTCCAATTGTGATACTTCTGAGAATAAAGTATGGCCTTATCATTGGTAGAATCAATAAGGGTTTGAGATTGGTGTCTTATCTATCATTAATGTTCCAAAGAATTGGAAATTTATGAAAAGAGTTGTTGCAATGGCAAAGCAACATAATGACAGTGGTTAAAGGCAGGAAGGTCGATGAAAGCTGTGGATATATTAGGAGCAAGGTATATCCCCTTTGGTATTCTGTGTAGAGACTAGAAATAGCGTTGAAACAACAAAATGACAGTGGTTGAAGGCAGGAAAGTTGATGAAGTTGTGGGTAGATGTGGATAAAGGATAACCCCATTCTTTGTGTTGAGACCAGAAATAGAGTTGAATTTCTTGTGGTGAGAGTTGAGACCAGAAATAGAGTTGAATTTCGAGAACTTTCACATGTTCTTGGTTTATGTTTCTCGGAATCCGAGCTTCTATTAGATAAACTTTCTTGTTTCTCACGGTGATGCAGGCATTGCAAGGCAAGGCAGTCAGCTATTGTCAAGGATAAAAGAGATAAGCAGCAAAAGGTGCTTCACAGATTTCTCTTTTCATTTGCCTATTTTTATTGGTTCTAACTCTGTTTTAGCAGGACAAACGACTTATCTTGACGATGGATGATCTTTCAAAATCTCTACGAGAGGTAAGCAATCGGATTAGAATCATTGTTTGCTCTATAAAAAACAGAAAAAAGTTAACCCATCACTGTAATTTCACCTAATATACTCTTAAGCAGTCTCCTGTATAATGCTTTTTGAGCAATAGTTCTTTGTTGAAGTGGTATATTCATTACAATTGCTTTTTCTTTTCTAAATGATTTTGTAGTTAAATAGTTGTGTTCAGTTAGTACTTTGAGAGCTAGTGAGCAGATCGAGATATAAGGATGAAATTTAATCTCCATGCATAAGCTGTTTTGGCAGAATCTGCTTGCTGAATACTGCTTGATCTGGATGTTTTTCCTCCGTGAACTTGAAAAGTGATGATTCACATTGTATACAATCATCTGCGTCTATGAAGTTTTTGGTCTATAGATCTTTTTTAAAATTTAATGTTTAGTTTAAATTTTTTGGTAAGGTAAAGATTTTATTGATGCGAGCGGACAATACACTATGGGTATGTAAAATGTAGAAAACCTTACACAAAATATATGATTCTCTACCAAGAGCAACTAAATCATATATACCAACTAGGACTTGTTTAGAAGCAAAAGACATGCTCTCATGGGTAGAAAGGTGTTCTCCATCCCTTTAGAACCTCTGTTGTTTCTTCCTCTCCGAAGGTTGTCCTTGATATCGATTCAGTGTTATTCTTGCATATCTTTGGTGTTTCAATTTGCTTACTATGGTTCGCTTTAATTTTTGATTTGCATTGCAGTATGGTGTGAATGTCAAACATCAAGAATACTTTGCTGATAGCCCGTCTGCTGGGTTAGATCCTGCTTCAAGAGAGGAATGATGTATTGCCTGCCTACAAATCTCTGTAAGCACCTTCATCGTCTTCTGATGGTTGCGAGGGCATTGTCTTGTCATCTTCTAGATATCTCTAAAGCTATATATGTGTTGAAGGATACAACTTTTGACTACTTTGTATCTGATTTACTTATCAATGTTAGCTGTAGTTGCCACAATTGTTGGATTGGTAGTTTTGAGGTTCCTTTCGTGGTAGCAACAGGAAGAATATCGACAAGTAGTGCAGGAGCTTAAATCAGCTTCGGACTGGTTGATGAATGTACACTATTTGGTCTAATTCCATGTGCATAATTGATAAGAAAGAATCCATTGGTTTATCATCATCAATAGTGCACTTCTTTTATTCCATTGATGTTTGTATGAATGAAGAGTTACAAGAATCCATGTTTGGTCTCCCCATGTCATTTATGACCACCAATATTTTCCTTGTTAATAGTGACCCTTTCTTTTGGGAGCCTAATTGTGTTGGCTTCTTCATCTTGCGGTTGTTTGTATCTGTTTCATTCGGGTCTTTCCTTTGTAGAACCTGTTGGGAGAAAATATATACTATTAGTAACACTGTATATGGTGTGTTCTTTTGGTGTGCGTTGGAAAAAATTGATGGGAGGGAGGAGCATAGAATCTTCAACGAATTTAATGGCCATTAAACCAGGATGGCCTCTTCTCGCAAAATACTTGATTGACCCGTAACTGTTGGATCAATAAAATCTCATTTGATCAACTGGTGAATATAAGTGGAGTTTAATGGATTGAGAGATACGAAAATTTTAGTGCACATTAACATGTCAACTCATCACTCAACCTAAAATTGAAAGGACTATCGTTTGATCCTCAAAGCAAACTTTAGAAGTGAGTTCTGACCTCTTTTGGTTGAAGGCAAGTTGGTTCAATGCGAGAGTTGGGAGGGGGATACTGTTTAATAGGAATGGTAACTCAAGCGTACAAAAGCAATGATGTTATATTTGTGAAATACACTGTTAACTTAGATGAAAAATGTCTTGAGAATGTCATCGTCCTTTAATAACTGAAAAGTGAAAACTTAGTATTAACATTTGCAAGCTGCATCATTGCACAAGTTCCAAAATCATTCATTCAACTAATTTATCAATATCCATCACCAATGAGAAATGCAAAACTTGATACTATAAACAAATCATTATTGGATGGGAAAAAAAACAAATAATTATTGGAGAGGTACTATTTACCGTTTTTTAGAAACTCCTGAAGGAACTAAAGCAATTGGCAGTCTGCAAAAGATGATGATAAACTGATTCAAAAGGTCACTAAAACAGAAGTTAAATTATCCAAAAGACTATCTACGAAGCCTTCAGTTTATCATGAGCAAGCATCGAGCTTACAATCGTTTGCACCACAACTACATGAACAAGTTTTATCCTTTCCCTCTTCACTCCATAGCCACTACTCCACCAGGAATACTTGGGAACACTTCCTTCTTTGAATGATGCTAGTTTTCGAGCAAATGAAGATACACTTCAGTCTTTCCAATGGATCCTTACTAACCCTACAACGTGCAAAAATCACCCGTAAGAAATGGAGCAATCTAGTTACTGGAGCAATAGGAAACATGGATTGCATGATGGAAGTCGGAGCGAGCCATTAAATTGGCTCACTCTACTGGGGTTGGAGGGGAGGGAGAAGGGGGAAATCCAACAGCCTCCTGACCCTTTTCCAGGTGCAAGCCATTTCCACTGTTGTTCCTGCACCTAGTTCTAATATAAGGTACTACTTAATGAAAATAATCCATGTCAAACAGACTATATGAATCAGCAGGGAGCGCTGGAGTTCAATTACAGTAGTAGTTACCTAATTGTCATAGAAGCGGGAACGACGCCTTCGGGAACTGTACCACAAAAGAAGGATGAAGGAATAAGTATGGTGAATCAGACTGAATAATGACAAAGAAACTAAGCAAATTGGAAAAAGCAATCTCCTTCATATGTGCCATTTCTATGCTTCAGCAATAGCAATTGCTTAAATTGAATCAGCCTATTGATGACCCTAATTCAGTTCCATTTCTGTGGTTAACTGTCTCTCCTCCTTTATTAGTCAGAAAGATGAAAAACAGAATGCCATTATCTCACCATCTAGGAAACACGGATTTTTTTTTTTTTTGCTACATACTAATGATAGAATCAATTTTCACTGTCTTGCTTTTTTGGCAACGAAAATGCTTGGTGAAAACAAATATAAAACTTGAAGTCACATTTAACCCTCCATTTTCTTCCCATATCAATTCTCTATAGTTCCCACAAGGAGGTTAGCATTAGCAAAAAAAGTAAAGGTAAGGGACAAAGATTCAGGCCATAGACAAACAATCAAATTCTCCTAAAGAAACTGCAATCGCCTGCAATCACATGAAGCTACTTTGATTGTAGATGGCTAGATGCCAATGAACGACGCTCAAAATCGTTGAGACGCTTAAACTTCTGAATGTCAGAACACCAAAATTAAGGACAAAGAACTTCCACAGTATCAAGAAGGGTCCCAATTTGTTAGCTAAATAATAGAAAGAGTGATGATGTCCAAGCATGGGAATCTTTGATATATACAGGTATAATGCATACAGTTGGTTGGTCACTGTAATTGGACATGGGGCTGAGTGAATGCCAATGCAACGTACTTTAGCAACAGTATGAGAAAAAGTAAGCCAACAGTTCCAAAGATAGGAGTTTAAATGCAACTATAGTGGAGTTCATACGCACAGAACAAGAAATTTCAATCCATCAATATGTATTCGTAAGCGTGCAAATGAGACAATCTAATCAGCAATTAACTGAAAGACTCAGAAAAGTTATTAAGAATTATTAAAAAGGAGAAAGAATATCTAGTGCATCAAAATGTGTGAGTAATCTGCTCAGAAAACATATGATGTGGAGTGCTGTTCGTTTGATTCTCAATTCACTAGAAGCAAACAGTGATCTGGTGAAGGCCACGACTACATAAGGGACCCATCAATCTAGAGCATGTCGCAATAAAAGCTTGACTCGAGGCGGTGTCTAATAGAAGAATAAAGGGAGCAAGGATTCCACAAATCATAGCGGACCAAATGAGAAAAGGATGGAAGCTTAAAAGGAATTTTGTGGGGCCACATAGACCCTACACCAGGGAAAAAAGTCTAATGTGCCACCAGACTTTGCCTTTTATCTGTTAGAAATTATACCCACTGCAGCTCTTTATTATCACCCCACTGCAGTTCTCACATGCTCACCCTATGGCATGTAAACTAGATGTTTGGATATTTCTTAATTAAAACAGGATTCCATATTTTGTTCAATCTTATAGGAAACAAAGATAGCAGCTTGAGGAATATCGTAATAGCTGAGATTCACAAAAATGGATTCTCACATTTTAGAGAGGCAAAAGCATTTCAAATCAAGATGAGCTTAAAACAAGGGTAGTGCATAATGTAAATAAAGGCCAATCTGTATAGAACTTACTGACCTGCGACTATCAGCTCTTCTCCTTGAGAGGCCAGCAGCACTTACAAGCTCATCATCAGTCTCGTCAACCCCATAATCTACATATTCTACAGATGTCACAGAACTCTCATCAGAGTTTGAAGCATCATAACCCAAATGGCGGTTTCCTCTTCTTGTATTACTTACTCTAGATCTTCTTCTGTTTCTAGACGTCCTAAAGTTATTAAATACCTGATACAAGATACATGATGTCCACCAGTTGCCTTCCGCTGAAGGGAAGTCCTCAAAGTCATCTTCAGAATTATCATTTCCATATTCAATCACATAATCACCTAAAACAACCCCTCGGGGAACTTCTGCATGAATAGTACTCAAGACGTCTATTATTTCAGAGGACTGCTGAAAATTTTCCCAATCAACCTGTCGAGCAGGATCTATTTTTGAGGGACATGCATGAGGGTGGTCAAGTTTAGCATGTTTCTGAAGTTCCAAATAGGTGCCCGTAAATCGACATTTATCCTCTTCACAACAGCGTTCCTTGACATCGAGATGTATGCGAGCCTTCTCAACAACAACCCATCCAGTAACTTCTCCCCTACACAAGGGGCAGGCAGCCCAATTCTTGCCTTCCGATTTTGTCATATCTTCTCTGTCATTGGATGTTGAAAGTAATTGTGACCCAGCTATCATCCGATGTGCTTGTTTGAAGCGTTCTAGACAGTTGGAGTGCAAATGATCCGTGTCACACAAAAAGGGCCTGCAACCCTTCTCGAAAGATGAGCACTGGAGGAGAACACCGTTGTGAGGGAAGTCCAAGCAAATGGGACAAATCACATTATCCCAGTTGGTATACAGTTCCACCTCCTCCATAGAGAACTTTATCATAGCCCCTTTCAGCGTGAAGTTTCAGTGATCGGAGAGATTAAAAACCAAGTTCCTGTCAGCATGCAGCATCTCCCTTCGTCTGGTCAGGATTAAAGAAAATTGAGCAAAAAAAAAAAAGAACTGTCAAATTATGCAAACAAAAGCAACGGTAGAGAATGAGTACGCCAAATATTTTCACTTAAAAACAAGCCTGAATTAAGCCAGGGTCAACAGCTAGATAGAAGAACACGCATATATCAGAACCGTTAAGAAAAAAAAGAAAAAAAAGAACACAAAAGGTGAGAGAAGAGAAGCTAATCGAGTGAAAGCTATTAAAACTCCAAAGGAAGACAATTGATTGATCACCAATTGCAACTTATCTCACAAAGAGCATTGAAAATATAATTGAGTAGAGGTAAAGAGATCCTTATATGACTTTTCTAGACCAAAATGCCATCTCCTTAATACATTGTCCCTTTCACCTCATAAATATACTCGTCATCAATTTATCTTTGCAATAACAATCAACCGAAGTAATGGTACGGAAAAGCTTCCGTAAGAAGATAGAAGCATTAATTCTTTTATAAGTAAATCCAAGTATTTAAAAAGAATTCATATATAAAAAGATCAAACGATCACTATTGAACTCAAGAACTCTTGAAATTTGCTGTCTTTGTTCTTCCGTATACAAACCAGAGAAGCAGAAGCATGACAAACTGCTTTTGACTGCATATATCCATAAAAAATGAGTAGAGCTATTCTTCCCCTTCCAAAAAGTTCACTGTACTATGACGGTCCTGCATCCAAATACTTTAGGGAAAGACTTGGCAAACCTATTGCCCTACCGGACCACTATTATTCCTAGAGATGTCTCCCAAACTTAGGTAGCCCGGTGCACTCAGCTCCCGCTATGCGCGGGTCCGTGAAGGGCCGGACCACAAGGGTCTAATCTACGCAGCCTTACCCTGCAATTATGCAAGAGGTTGTCTCCCAAACTTAGAGAATGTAACAAATTCCATAGTACTTCATGCTGAAGAATAAAGTTGTAATGAACTTTTTACTTTAATCCTTTTCGAAATTTAACTATTCAAGTAGAATCAATTGGCCAAGCTATTCCCTCGTGGTGATTGCCATGTTTAAGTATGACCATTTTGGCAGAGCAGCTCCCCAAAAGAAAACTTGCAACAGAAAGGGTTGTAATATGCGAGATCAATTGCTCATAATAAGATTCAAACAAGAATAAATCATATGTTAGCGGATATTTAGAGAATGGGAAAAGCAAGGCACAAAGCTTTTTAAGTTCTTCCAGATTAGAATAATTATGATCCAGTATGGACTTTAGATCTGAGGACGATCCATCAATTTCTTGAACTCCATAACAAAAATTCAGGCACCAGTTAATGGAAATAGATCTTGCCCGCCAATTAGGCAAAAACTTGATCTCTCTTCCATTCTCGAGCTTGAAGTTGATGTACCAAGAAAAACCTTCCCATCCCTATTTATTATTTCCAACAGATTCAGCCAATGAGATGCATGGACAGATAGCATAACGGAATCCCATTGTGCAGTTCAACAAATTCAAGTAGTAATGACCTCCTCTTGTGTACATCAGCATTGCCTGATTATAAGGAGCACAGTCAAGCTGACCTATTTTCCCGAAAACCCCTAATAACCAACTCCCCTATAAATTGACTTGGAGGTGTTCCCTGGTCCAAATATATTGAAACCGTACCTCATTAATTGCTTATCACTATATAATGCAAATTTCTACCATCCCGAAGACATAAATGGAAAGGTCCATCTTACTCACTGGTGCTTCACTTTGATCATTGAAGTGTATGAAACATATAGCAAAAATTAGAACGAAAATAAAACCTGCGACCTCTTACCTCTCACCAGCATAGGTACGGGGTAACTATGCCCACCTAAGACTTAGGCTGATACGAAGAAATCACCTAGTGGCTTTTTGCCTCCGATAAGATTTGGACCTAAGACCCATTTTATACACTCTCTATCTTTCAATTTTTTGCTTCCTCCTATCTCCTCTCACCTCTACTTAAATATCAGATTAATGAAGACTTCCATATAATATAAGGAGTACTAATTTTACTTCTTTACCCTATTTCCACCATTTCAACAATTCATAGAGCAACCCAAGAAAATCAAAAGTCAAAAGGGTGTGCTCAAAGACCAAAAATTTAAACGGGAAAGTGCTTTAAACAGATAAATATTAGCATCAACAAAGACACCCATATAAATTAATATCAAAGAGCACCCAAAAAAAGATCAATTTGACCTATGAAAAAAGTCAACCCATAGAATTCGAAAATTAAAACAGAAAATGGAAACAGTGATGGATCATTCAAAGACTTATAGAGCAAAAGAGTAAAAGATTTTATGGGGACGGATCAAACCTGATAAATTTTGGAAAGAAATCAAGAGTACCCAGAAGAAGATTGAAGAGAGAAATAGAATAATATGTTGATGAGAGATGCTGAAAAGAAGCAAATGAAAATGAATACAAAAGTCAGTAATAAAGTTCTACAATGTGAGGTTTTGTGTTTCTTTTTCTTTTTCTTTTTCCTTTCTCCAAATCCATTTTGATCTAATCTTGGAATAATAATTAAGTCACGTTTTTTTCCTTTCAATAGTATACATACTTCGTTATGTTTTGATTTCAGTGAAGTTAACAAAAGCTAAAAGTTTCTGGTTGCCAAATAGTCAACCTTATTTGGGTCATTTTTTCAATAACTAAGACAGAATTTCTTTCTCTTTTGGCACCAAGTGTGAATTAGAGTTCTACTTTTAGACTAAATTGCAAAATTGAGGGTAGGGGTGGTAAATAAGCGGGTTGGGTCGGATATGAACGGGTCGAAAACGGATAATTCAAAAATGGATAAATTATCCGACCCAACCCGTATTTGAGACGGATAAAAAACGGGTTATCCGGCGGATAATATGGATATCTATAGAAGAAATTACACTCTATGTCACTTGGCCCACTATCCTAACAAAATACGGCCCATATTTTCCCTTCTTATCCGGTATGGCCCAGTTCTATACTGTTGAAATTTTTTTTCACTGATTAGCCCTCACCGCCCACACTCTTTTTCAGACTTTCTCCCCACCCCACTTTCTCTTTCATTTTCAATCTCTTGCTCTTTCTCTGTCTCTTTCTCTCTCTCTGGCAAAATAGTCGAATTCTTCTTCAGATTTCCTTGCTCCGTTCATTATCTTCCTCTTCCACAAAATAATTTTGTTGAACAATCCACACCGGATCTATCTTTCGTAGTCTTTTTCTTTTCTTTGAACTGGAGTTAGCAGCCAGTGGTTTGGGATGTTTTTTAGCTTCACTTGAGTCCAACCAACTGAGAGGATTGCGATTATAGACGGGCCAGTTGGGGATGGTGACAAGGGCAGTAAAGACAACACCACCGGCATATGTTAACAGCATAGTCTGAAACGATCCCAACGCATAGCCTTTCTTCTTCTTCTTCTCACTTTAAATAACTTCTGAAGGGAGGAAGAATGATGTATATGTTGTATATACATATATATACTTTGTATAATCATGTATAACCATGTATATTTGTGGGTATTCTCATAGTTATACAGAATTATACATGATTATACACAATTATACAAGATTATACATAATTATACATGATTATATTTGTGTGTATAACAATGTATATAAGGTGTTTAATAATGTAAATTTTTATTTTTTCCAGTGAAATAAGAATTTCCCTTGCAAAACTTTAAATTTTACAAAAAAATATAAAACTAAAATTATAGACTCTAAGGATGAATATATTTTTATTTTTACTTCAACTTGCTGATATTGTTTACTATACAGAGGGAAGTAAAAAATAAATAAGAATGAAAATGGAAAAAGGGTAAAGATAAAAATGAAAGAAAAAAGTGAAATCTGATTTAGGCGTGATTTTGGGTGTAGTTGATGAAGTTGTGGGTTAGGCGCTGAAATTATTTGTGGGCTACCGCATGAAAACTGTATTTGTGGGTTAGACGGCTGAAAAGTGCTTTCCCCAAGTGTACTTATGTGAATTATCCCATATCTATATTATCTATGGCTTCTTGAATATGATCACTTTTGGGAGAATTCCTAGTCTCCCAAACTTGATGAACTCACAATTTGAGGCTTTATAAATGTAAAGTTAAACACATTAGTTATCCATTTGGTTAACCATTTTCTAAGTGGATAATATGGTTCTTATTCATATTCGATCCGTTTTTAAAAAATTCACTATCTAACCCATTTTCTAATGGATAATATGGGTGGATAACTATTTTCTTTTAACCATTTTGCCATCTCTAATTGAGGATAATAAGGAAATCAAGATCCTTTTCTAGTTGTTATTAGGTGTAGCTACAAGAGATGGCCAACGCGGTAAGGCAGAGAGAGGCCGGATAGGTGAAGAATAAATACTTAAGAACGGCAAATGTTGTCTTTTTCTTACGAGTAGAGCCGTCAAAATGGGCTTGGCCCGTGAGGCCAGTCGCAACACAGCCTGCTACTTGAGTAGAGTTGGGCTAGAATTTTTTGAGCTTATTTAAAACTGAGACTTATAAGCCCGGCCCAAGTCAGGTCGTTGGCCCTTAAGGCTTGACCGATGCTGGGCCTGGGCCGGCCCCTTGGCCAAAAATTATTTAAATTAATTAACTATCAAATATTTAATCTTTAAAAAAGTAAAAACTAAAAAAAAAATATTAACTATAATCCTCATTCCCCAACCCTAGATTGCTCATTTACCCTTATCAACTAGAATTTAGATTTTTGACATGCATGTAATATGACAAAATTAGTTTTTATTTTGCTTAATTAATAACGAACTTGAAAATTTTTAGGTGTCCAATAATAATCTTTTTTCAAAAGAAAATATTACTTTAAGTGGCCAATGATTAGTTTGGATTACTTTAATATACTAGTTTCTATCAACGTCCGTTGCACGTTAATAATGACACATGATGGTTTAAATATTTATATATATGAATGAACAATAAAATTTAATTAATGAGAGAAATTTTATATATAATATTACTACAATCATCTAAATGCCAAAAAATATTATTACATTAGCATAATACGTGAATTCAAAATGAAAGGATATCATCAGAACTTACATAAGTCATCAATTTTAGTCATGTTAAGCAGATAATTATGTATTGTAGTTTAAAGGTATCTAATGTGATGGTATCTTACCGAACACTTATTTATAGACGGTGTTTTTTTGTATATGTTTCCTTCTAATGCTTTGGTTACTCTGCCATAACCAGAACTCTTGTTGTCGATATTGATATCTCTCTTGAAAGTGCAATATATAGTTATTCGTGTAAGAAAATATATTGTGGTAAATATAATTCAATATTTAGGATGTTTGTCCTTGTGTTTTATTTACTATAACTACTAAATATAAACATACTGAAAAATATTTTCACACAAATTTAAAAGGATATTCTTTAGTTTCGGAAGACGAAAGTTGAATTCGGAGATAAACACATACTTAAAAGCACATTGACTGGTATCATAAGTTCTGCATGTATGACGTTATTATCAAAACTTCTATATACCATATATGTACTATTACATAAGCTATTCAGCGGATCTAAGTTTTCAGTAGCATAATGGGCATATTTTTCTTCAAAATCAACTTATATGCAATGGAAGATCAATTTTAACTTAGTCTATTATATATATGGTGACACTGACATATGTAAGAAATAATGAACTTGACAACAAACATGTATGGTAGAAGGACATTTCGTATTAAAGTATTTAAGAATTCTTCTTGTTAGTTATTGTTGGTATCATCTTCTGCTGAGTGAAAATTGAAAAATATTTTATTTCTACCATAAAACTTAGCAATCAACCTTTATTTAGTTGATCAACATATTCATTTTTGCTAGCTAAGATAGCTCTTTAATTTCTGTTATTTGCACAAACTGCGTTTGATCTAATGATGAAAATATTTTTCTTATTAAATGACCTACTATTACCATTGGAGTTGATAACTAAGTGTTCTAGAAGAACCAAATTATCTTTTATTGGATGCTCTTCTACGCTTCCGACACGAAGCAAGAAGTCCCTGAATGTTGAATCTGTTCTTACTTTTATATTTTTTGTCATTTGAATATTTTTCATTTGAGGTCGTAAGTATAATTTTGGCAAGCTAGCTTTTACAGTTTATGCTTTGGTCTTTGGAACTATTGATCCTACTTGACAGAAATCACCTTCCAAACTATTACTTTTCTACCAAACAGTTCACTAATATCCAGTATATCTCTAAAAGTGTGGGCGATTGTTTCGATTGTTTGACGCTTAGCCAAAAGTGCTTCATCCCATATTATCACTTTTGCTTTCCTTATAAATTTAGCACTATTGATCTTATTTGATTATTTGTGATGGTTATTTCAGTTATTTGAAGAGGTATATCAAATCTAAAGTGAGTTGCACGACCTCATAATAAAATCGTTGCTGGTACACCACTTGTTCTTATTGCTAATAATATCATGCCTCTTGATATGACATTTGCAAGAAATGCATGATATATGAATATTATTTTGATTTCGCCGAAGGCATCTACAACAGATAATCCCGCTATACCAGAATTAATTTTTTATAATATAATCTTGAAAACTTATTCTTGTTTAGGATTTAGCTTTGATTGTGCTTCTCAAACACTTGTATGTCCTTCTTAATATTATATTTTTTTTAACTTGAAAAATACTTTTACTTATATGATGAATTTAAAAAATAATTTAATTGGATTCTCTTGCTAAATAATTAATTGAAAGATTTAATTATTTGGTTTTAACATAAAATATAATTTATTTTCTGTTAATTTAGATTCTTAATATTAGTTCATCTCATGTTTGAATATTTAACCGTGATTATAATTTTATCCACCATAAAGTTTATTTTCAAAGAGTACAAAGATCGATGACATTCCACTTTTAGATCTTTATGTTTGCAAAATCATTAGAGGTATTGGCTCTTACCAATATTTTTCTTTCTTTTCTCACGCATTTATATTCATAATTTTTTTTTAGTTGTTCTTTAATAATTGGGTATATTTTTCTATATTATACGAAAAATTAATAGTAATAAAAATTACTTAAGTGGGAACGTAGTTCAAATATAATATAATAATATATTTTGGTGGGAATTTTTTTTCTCAATTTTAACGCTCATAAAGTTCGTTTAGCATTACTTCTTTTTTTGGGTATTAAATATTATAGAGTGGTAATGTATGACCAATATGGAGGATTCTTATGAAATTGATTTTATTAAACCTTCCTACATATTTTTAATAATAATTCAATAGACAAGATTGTATTAATTTTAAAATTTTGAATATTTTAAAATTTATCATAGAAGTTATTGTAGTCCAAAAAGTTATTACAGTTATGTCCTTTCCCGGTGAGTTCTTCTGTTTAATATTTTTAGGCTATTTTGGTCTATCAATATTATATTTGTGCTTTTATAATAATACATGTTCTCCTGTTTCTAAATAGATTTGGACAATATTATATGTTTTCAAATTAAATTAGTAATAGTAATAGGAATTTTTAAGAAGTAATCCTAAA